GCTGCTCTAGCAGCTCGTATACCTTCTGAACGAATTATCTCCTGAACAACAAAGTGCAGAAGTGTTGTTTTCCCATCTTTTCCTTTCACATCAGCCAACTTCAGAAGTGTATCGAGCTTAAATGCTTGTGCACCACCGCGATATGTTCCATCATTCATGCGGTTTCCCGTTTTCAGGACAGCCTCGAGGAGTTTGAGAAACAGCCTGCTTTTCCGCAGTTCTGTGCAAGCAACCTGCAATATGTGATGCGGACATTCTAGTGCACTATTTTGGAGACATTAATGAAACTATAGATTTAAGGCTAATGCTGCCCCTGTAAGTAATGAAATATGCATCAGACAGTTTGAACATATGACAAATCATTTAGTGCATGTCTGGCACTCAATATCGAATAGGACTGGTCACTATAAAAAGATTACGTTCTTCCTTGAAACTATCCAATTCTCCTTACTAAACATGCTATTAAGATGAAATATATAGCATAAATTGCTGCAATAAAGGCGAAATTGATTACCTAATCTCTTGTATGCAATGGGAAAATACTCTTTTCCCTTAAACTCCATCAGAAAAAATACATTCTTTAATCTTTACTGTCAGCTGTCTTCCCACATTATCATGTGGAATTAAAACAAGGTAAAGGGAAATGGGCCATCGAACAATAAATTTATTTTTAGTTTCTTGTATATTTGTTAGTAATTCTTCGCGCTGATCGTGGGGACAGCTTAACCCATTGTTTTTAATGCCATAAATCTATTTGACATGATTTACATGAAAATATTTTTATTTTTTAATCAGAGTGGGCATGTTTGAAATGAAATCAAGTAATATATCCAAATAATTGTATGAATTTTTCTACCTATAATTTATTGGCATTTAACAGCACCAGTATCTCACCTCTAATACCTGGAAGGACTCTTTTATTGTTGATGTCTCCTCTTGAAGAGTGCACATTAAAAGCAATGTTTCTAGCCTCCTAAAGGCAAATGGAATTTCGACCAAGACTTTAAGGAAGCGGTCTGCAGGTCCAAGGTGAGAAAGCTCGCCGCTGTATAGTCTCAGCTTTAGTTCTTCTTCTGATGTTGGTGCCATCTTTAATAAATTTTGAATAAGTTCTGTGGGAAGTTCATTACCTGATACAGTTGAAGGTTAGCTACTTATATATATATATAAAGAAAAAATGAAAAAGAAAGAAAGAAATGATGATGAAGGAAAAAGTAAAATTATAACACACAACATAACCATCGACGTACTAATGCCTTGTTATTTCTTGGGGAATTTTCAGCATTGATTCTCAACATCCAAATCCATGTTAAATTTTCGTGTGACCCTCTTGAAAACATACCAAATTTCAAATTTCTGAGCACCAGCCCAAGTTGGAAAACAAAATTCAACTTTGTACAGTTGGGTCTACGAGGGTCACGAGACAATTTAATAGAGATCTGAATCATTTCCATTGTAAAGGATATGTTATATAAATAATGAAAGTTTGAGGATCAACTCGCTATTATCTGAGACGTCTTGAGATGAGTTTGAATGTGCATATCATTTAGTTATTTTTTTTTTTTTTTGCATTTTCTTTTATAAATTATGTGGGCAATCTTGGAATCTAAACTACAAATTGTTACACTTTTTGGTGGAGGCATTTTTCAGTGAGAAATCCAGAAGGGAAAATATATCAAACAACGAAGGACAGGAGGAGTTCTTATCTCACCATCATTCTCTTCAGGTTTTCACAGTGAACCAATGAAAAAATTAGTTATTGCAGTAATGAATACCAATCAAAGCTTAAGATGAAGAAAGCACAGAAGGAAAAACTATATCCTAAACGAAATTGCAGTAATGAATACCAATCAAAGCTTAAGATGAAGAAAGCACAGAACGAAAAACTATATCCTAAACGAAATGCAGAGTTCTAGCATATCTAACTCAGCTATCAATCTAGCATAAACACACAGCTTTTCTTTTTCTTTTTCTTTCAAGGGAAGAGATAATTAACTGTAGTTATAGTTGACGTCTTGAAGTTCAATGCTAGAATGAATACTTTTTGTTTTTATTTTTCCATCGAAATCATCGTCATACCAACCCATTTTAACAGTGTTCATTTTAGCAAAAGCCTTAAGCAGAACATTTGATCAATTTTTCTATCAAATGGGGTTTCATTTTTATTAGACACCGAATTAGCTCACTTGATTGAAGCAAATTAACTTTTCCCTTTTTAGCCATCAACTAATTCAAAACTTGTGGCAAAATTCAGAAAGGACCAGAGAAACAAGATTACCTTCTTGAAGTGCATCAGAAATTTCTTCCGTGGTCACATTTAAAGCTTTGAGAAAAATGGAGAGATTCTGTGACTTCTTTTGATCAATTATTTGAATGTGTTGAGGAAGAGAATCTTGAAATGAAGACCCTTTCTTGCCCTTACTTTCATTTTTCGCAGCGGGATCATATCCAAATAGATTCTCTATCATCTCCTCATTAAACCTATACATAGTTTATCCCATGTCTCTCAGACAGAGCTTGACAAATCAGTATGAACTAGTTTATGAGCAGAATCAACAATGAGGGAAAGAATAAACCTACTGGAATGACCCAGCTCTGATCTGATCCCAAACCATTGCATTATCAGGGTTGGCCGATACCTTGTCCCAGAAAAATGGCTTCAGCTTGGTCTTGGAAGCAGCGCCATATCCCCAGTCACTTGAGGTAGAAGTAGACTCATGATTTGGTCCAAGAGGTGAACGTCGAGGTGGTTTCAAGCCTACGGGAGGTGGCCGAGGTGGAGGGACACTGCCTGGAGGTGGTGGCGGACGAGGACCAGTTTTCGTGCCAGAGGTTATAGGAGGTGGAAGAGGTGCTCCAGGAGGTGGAAGATTACCATTAACCGTAGGATTTATAGGTGGTGCTGGTGGGGGTGGGGGAGGTGCTGTGTTGCCTAGAGGTGGTTTTGGAGGATTTGTCCTTCCAGGGGGTGGCTTGAGAGGAGGACAACCAGGTTTACCTAACATTCCAGACGGCATTTGCACGAAATCTTTCCTTGAGTTGATGCCAGATCCAGCAGTGGTACCAACTGATATCTTAATCTCTGAATCCGCATAAAACTTGCCATTACTCTTACTCCGGTTCAGTGAACCATGAAATAACTGATTACCTTGCTGGTCTTCTTTCATTAAAGTAGCTAGATCAAATGACTTCCGTGACGAGGCTGAAGATAGGAATTTAAGAAAAAATTAGAACTTGAAGATGCAATATATACTCTTATAGAATGTTTGGTGAGGTAGATTAGGTAATACTCGACAATATTAAGAAAGATAAAAGATCTACAAAATTGTCATTGTATTATCCAGTCTAGTCTCATATTGCATACTAAGCACGCACTTGAGATGAAATCATATGTGGGGAAGTAACAATTTTACCAATAGAATAGTCACTTAAGCTTAAGCAGAGAAGTGGCTTCTCATCGTTTCTTCCTCGTCGATTGCCAGTCCTGCAACACCTGCAACAGCAGAAACATGACAGTGCAGCAACAAGTGACACTGCAGCAATTGCAACAGCGGCAATAACAGTTCTCTTGTTGCTCTCTTTCTTGCTCGACTGCTTTTTTGAAGCAGATTTTTTACTTCTAGACGAATGTGTGCTAGTTTTAATCTGTAAGCTTGAATCATTCAAGTCAGGAAGGAAAAATGGAAGCCATGGGGGATTAGTAGGAAATGGAGCATTAGAAGCAGCTGGAATCAATGTAGCTTGACTAGGTGGTGAAACTGTAGGGGCTGGTGATGGTGCTTCTCCAATTCTCTGAATTAGTTCACGTCGACTAGAAGAATCAGGATTGGCAAATAAAAACCCCAAATACCTAGTGTACCAACTTTTAAAGCCTTTCTCTTCCCCACAAACAGGAAGCATGAGATTTCTTTCCCTTAAACAATCTAGAAGGATTTTCTTAACCTGAGGGTGCAAGCAATTGGCAGCTTTATGTATATCTGCTTTGCCTGATAATCTATCCTTTGGAAGTTTCTTGCTGTCACCCAATCTCTCTTCTGAGGCATATGATTCAAGATCTTCTAAAGCTTTCTTGGCATGTATCAACTCAAGCCTACAGTTTAACCATAAAAATTCAGCCTGCAACAAAAGATATTCATTTAGTTTTGCATATGAACACAACGGGTTTTGTAATTCCAGTCAAGCTTATCTCTAAAACTTAAGCCTGGGACAGCCAAAAGGTCCACTAGAGAAGACACCACGTGAATGTTAAACTTCTCTTTTCCACAGAATCATTTTATTATTCAATTAACTGCCAACTTTATTATACCTAAAAATGAGAAAGGTTTCTAGAGCATGGAGTTGTCAATAGCAGCCATAGAGACAGAAAAAGCTTCTTCGTTATTTTAATAAACTGCGACTAGAGAGCTATCAGTTTCCAATCAATATATGGTAATACAAGAGAAGTTATCAAGTCCAAAATATGGAAACATGCTTGGAGGGATAATAAAAATTGTCTGGTCAAAGTTTTTACTTCTGAAAAAAATTTAAAAGGTTAATAGTTTACTCTCATGAAATTCAGGTCTAGTTATAATCGTCACATCTATGATAACTTTCCCATTTTGAGCAGAAAACTTCACTTGCCCAGAGACAATGTATTTACTGTAGCCCAACTCCACCTCCTTAATAACATACAGATTGTTCAAAATGAAACAAAAGAAATTTTGAAAACAATAGAAGATAAACAAACAAAACCTTGTTCTCAATAAACTTTGGGTCAGCGATATCAACGGTGTTTGATGCATCAGCAAATCTACCAAATGATCAAATAAAATTTAGCATTCTTCAGCCACCTAAGTTGTCTGATCCTTATATTTATCCTGGGTGTCACTTCCACACATTTCTCACATTTAACTTTATGGAAACACAAAAATCCTTATTTCCACTAAGTTTCCATTATGGGCATTTTGTACTCAAGGACTCAATACTCGGTTCCATAAAACAAATTCGGTCCAGCTGCAACAAGTTGGTTTTAAGAACACAGTCACTCAAAGATAAATTGACATTACGTTAAACAAAATTCCCCAAATTGATAACCCATCAAATGTTGGATTTAACAAATTTTATCTAAAATGGCCATCACCTAACACAGCCATTCACTACGCTTCTCCGGAATAAAATCTAAGAGACAGGTATCGGGGAGGTAAGAATAGAGAAGTATTGAGCACCAAAGTCCTGTTATTATTATGAATAACCAGCTTGAGTAATTCATGCTGGAACTACAACAACAGTAAGCATTCCCTCCCAACTCTAATGTTGATCAACTTGCCCCATGGCATCATTTTATTTATTATTATTATGATTATTATTTATTTATTTATTTATTTATTTATTTATTATTATTATTATTATTATTATTATTATTATTATTATTATTATTATTTTTGTAATGGAAACAAACTCCATCTTGCAATGGAAACAAACTCCATCACCAATAGCAGTAAATTCTATCACTTTAATTGACAATTTTCATGTAAAACAAAACCAAAAAAATACCAAAAAACACTTTTATTTAAACATTTTTCAATGAAAAATTATACTAATCAAACACAATAATTGACAATTATCAATAAAATAATTTCTAGACAATTCAATTCTCTGAAATTCATTTTCTTTCCACCTAAATTTTATCTTTGCAATCAAACTGACCCTAAGTGCAAGCTTTTGTAGCTGAAAATGAAAAAATTATCACCGTTGAATGGAAAGACATGTGGCCTCATCCTCATGGTCGAGGTGTCTCATGCTAGGTGTCACTCCATCAACCATAGGATGATTGACATTTAATATTTCTGAAAAGTAGCTACTATAGAGTCTAGATCTAACATCTGAAAAGTATATTGACAAGTTGATCGTTTAGGTGACTACTGTAGAAATGTCACAACAATCAATCATAAAAATATCTCGTACGAAAGATCTCTTGAAATAGGTAAAGTGTGAAATATGTTCTATCAATAAAGATGCAAATGTCCTCGGATCACTTTTGCAACAAATTTTTTTTTTTTTTTTTGATAACCCAGGTGTCCCAGCTTAGCCGGACTAAATCCTGGACCTCTAGCCCCCGGCCCCTCACTTTTGCAACAATTTATAGTATTTTGGCTAGGCCATGGAGGGTTAGCTTCTACATGACAACTCGGAGAAGGTGATGCCAATGGCGGATACAAACATTTTGAGTTAGATGAACACAATTAAACTTACAAAAAAGTTGAAAAAACTGATATTAATAATTTTCTCATAGCCTTGCTACGGTGACAAAGTCAATAAATGAATTAAAAATAGGGGGACACGTGTCAACACATAATTGACCAGTTTAAAAATTTGCAAGTCAATGACAAAGCAAAAAATGAAATTGGTGTCTATAACTTGCCACAATTTTTTTATCCTTTCCGTTTTTTTTTGGGTTCTTTTTTCGAGTTTTTATAGCGTATCCCATGTGATGGTGCTAAAATATTGGGCTTACATTTGCTCGAACATTAGATAATGATAACGGGTCTATACTATTTGATTCTCAATATAAGCACAACGCATCACTCAAGTATTAAATAAGCACAAAATTAGCACTAATCTAAAAAACTCCTGCCATCAACTTAATGACCCCCAAACTATTATTTCAAGTGGTTAATGACTTGTGTTATGCGATATGGTATTAGTTTTTGATAACCTACGTCCAAATCTCAATCGACCTATTATATCAAGGTAATTAACACACAATTTTATGATAACTAACACGACTATTGTACTCAAACTTATATCACGATTTCACATTCACAAGTATAAAACTAATCAAAGCAACACAGCCTAATCACAATTTAAAAGTTATAAGCAATTCTAATAGTATCATCATTAGTCGTCAAGACTACCTAACTGATACAAACGCAAATAAACAAACAAAAACGTTACTGGAGTTTTTCAAAATTTCAGTTTTTAGATATATCTGAAAGAGATAAAATTTTTAACACACAACAATTTCAAATCACACAAACGTGTTAAATTATACTAAGAAACAAATAAGAGAACATCTCGATATTTTTACTCCAAACCTAATGTATGATATCAATATATGCATATAAATATCAAAATAAAATGAAGAACATAAAAGATGGATATAGAAACTTGGCGAGGGTGGTGTTGTACTGATTCTTGTGCTCTGTATTGTAGAAACGATGAATCCCACTATCATCAATGCCAACGCGATAGTCTGATGGTTCATCAATAGTGATAGTAAAAAAAAACCCGCTCCACCCCGAACGGGTTGGTGGGGCAAGGCAGGGCAGGGTAGGGCGCCCTACCTTGCCCCTCCCCGAACCCGCCCCCTGAAGGAAAAAAAAAAGATTAAAAATAATTTCATTTCTAGACAATTTATGCTGTTAAAAACTCATTTTGAGTTTGTATTTTATTTTCTAATAATAACATAACTCAAAATTTTGAAAATGTAAAAATAAAAATAAAAAAATAAACGGGCAAAAAGTTGCCCCGCCCCCGCCCCAAACCCCCCTTTTGCCATCCCTATTCATCAGTAGCTTTTCCCTTTTTCCTGGTCCGTCATATAATGCACTCTCCAAGTTGGTGCCATTGTACTTACAAATAAATGGAAAAAGTAAAATTAGAGGTATATTCATACCATTCGATAGTTACATACTAGCCCAAAATAGAAGTGAAAATGTGTGAACGAATGGGGAAGGGAAAGAGGACGAACCTTGGACGAAGTCACGAGCGAATTTATGTGGTGTGCTCGATGTATGCAAAATCGAATGCAAGCACATTGCTTTTATACATTTCGAACTCTTAAAAAGTTAGATCTATGTAATTCTAATCAAAGAACAAATTACACAATTCGTAATTCTTTTTCGTAGCAATAATATATTTGTATTCGACGTATGATTTAAATTATTTTGATATAAGTGAAAGCAAGCTTTGGCCCCATACAATTTGAGACAGCATCAAACATTATAATCAGGAAAAGATAATTGGCACGGAGGAAATACATTTTTAAATCTGTTTTTCATCGCGACACATACATGTGATAGTGGAGAAACCTAACCATACACGGTAAGAAGGCTAAAGAATATTTGACACAATGTATAATAAAATTGAAATTGGGAAAACGAAATTCACATTCATAGGGGACAAAAATAAAAATATATTTAATAAAATGTAAAACAAGTTGCATATGTTCTACTCATCTTCACTTAAAATAGCATCATTTCGAAATTGATAACAAAAAATAATTATCTCGTTTATGTCAAGTCAATTTTAAAAACTGATTTTTAGATGCGATGATTCAATAAAACATATCTACATTAATAATAAAATTTAAACTTCATGGGTCCATACTTTTAGAGAACGTTTGGCATTATTTTTATTTTTATTTTTGTTTCTTGTAGAAGGGTTTTTGAAGGAAATTACCTT